GGGGGCGGGTACAGCTGGCTCTGCCTCTAGATAGGCAGAGCCAGCTGTCACTTACGCAGCTGGGCGGATCCAGTCGTCTAAGTCGGGATCCGCTCCGGCCGCGGCGTCTCAGTATACCGCGAGCTGCAGCTCACGGTATATTGAGCTAAGGGTAACGGGAGGACGCTAGTTTGTGTATTTTTATTTTTTATAAACTTTTTTTTAAAGTTTTATATTCTAATATATATTAGTTGGTGGTATTCTGCATTGTGCCACCGTATTATACAATGCAGAATACCATGCACAATACACTGCAATGCAGGATACCATGTGCAATACAATGCAGAACACCAGCAGATATAGAGGAACACCAAATCCCAGCAATAATACATTAAGCAGCCCGTATAATGTACTATTGGTGGGATTTGTTGTTCCTCTATAGCTGGTGGTATTCTCCATTGCGATGTATAATGTATTATTGCTGGGATATGTAGTTCCTCTATAACTGGTCAGTGGTATTCTGCATTGCGCCATATAATCATTATACAGCGCAATGGAGAATACCACCAGCTATAGAGGACTACAAATCCCAGCAATAATAAATTATACAGCGCAATGCAGAATAACGCCAGCTACAGAGGACTACAAATCCCAGCAATAGTATACTATAGTGTACTATTGCTGCGATTTGTTGTATTCCTCTAAAGCTGCTGGTATTCTGCATTGCGCCGCTGTATAATGTACTATATTGCACACCACACTTCCACCGCTCCAAGCTTGCTCCCGTGATGGACTACAATCTCAATACAAACTAGTAGTCCATCACTGGAGCCTTTTTTTTAAAAAATCCGATTTAACCGATTAATCGAACTTAATAATCAGCCAACTAATCGATGTTGAAAATAATCGTTAGCTGCATCCCTAAATGCCTGCGTTGCAGTCTGGTTCGGTCAGAAAAAATAGTGCATGCAGCATTTATTGACTTTTTTTAATGTGCCATGCGTTCAGGTGTGGGCAATCGCACTGCAACTGGGGGGCGTGGCTGCGGTGCCATTGACTTCAATGCACCGCCACGCCCACCCCTAAACACAGGGAGCTGGCCGGGATGTGATCAGTGTGTTCAGGCACTAAATCGGGTTGGAACGCAATGTGAACTAGCCCTCATGGCTGGAACATCACAAATACAGAGGGACGTTTGCTGTATATTATTACACATCTTATTTGCACATTATGGCTTGATATATTTACTAGCAAGCACAATCTGCTAAATAAAAAATATAGGAAACAAGGGCTCTGCAAAGACAGCGAATGTCTGCACAATCGCCAATTTTTTGAACAGTCACATGATTGCTGTACACCAGGAGTGCCTATTCGGTCCATCGCAAAGCGAACACTGGTAGATCGTGATCAGCTAACTGACCTGAGCTTCCTTCTGCGGTGCTAGTGCGGCTGAATGTGTCAGACACTGAAGACGAGAAGGGGCGGGTCACCCCTTCCCGTCTTCAGCGTCAGCCACATGAACACTGCAGGAGGACAGGAGAGAAGAGAGACAGCAGAGAAAGTGAGAGAATAGAGACAGGAGAGAGGGCCGGTTCATACCACAAAGTTTGCGTTCCAGAGTGTTTGGCCTCTAGAACGCACTGGAACGCAAGCCAGCTGGCTCCCTGCATTCAGTGCATTGACGTAAATGGCACCGCAGCCATGCACCCCGCCCGCACCCGGAATGCGGGCACATTAGTGCCTGCGTTCCAGTCCAGTGCGATCTGCAAAAATAGTGCTTGCAGCATTGTTACAGATCGCACTGGAATGCAGGCACTAATGTGCCTGCATTCCGGGTCGATCGCACTGCAGCCAAGGGGCGTGGCTGCGGTGCCATTGACTTCAATGCACCGCCTCGCCCTTGAATGCAGGTGTTTTTTCGTTGGTAGATCTCATTGCGCTCGTCGTGAAAAGTAGATCTCCAGACGAAATATTGTGGATGCCCCTGCTGTACACATACAAGGAGGCATGCTATTTTTAGATATCTTTTTTAGGTATCTAACAGTATAATAATTTTCATGGAGTGTTTCTTGCAGAAATGCTCTGACATCACTAATGTCTTGCTTATATGGGCCATAGCAAACCTGTTTAACAATATGGCGAAATTAATCCCAGTAATTATGGAGATTGTCTGCCTAGATTGCAGAATGCAGTAAAAGCATACATAGTGCTACAGGAAAATGATGTCATATTATTGACCGGGAAATAGAGTTATGCCTGTGGAGCTTTGGAAGTGAAGTTGCGTGGTTGCTGATACAAGCAGTTTTGATGAGCCATGTGCTAACGTCACCATATTGCTTATGCTTCTGTTCAGATGGCCAATTATTTGGTAATGCACAAGCGCTCTCCATGTTTGTGTAGTCCATTCAGCATCTTGCCGCACGGCTTTGTGAACGTGGCACATTCAAAATGTTCTGCTGCTGTCACTACCTATGTATTCCAACTGTTCCAAAAATATTGCTGAAACACTCTCTAAACCACATAACTAATGATGGTTTACTTCCAAATGAAACTCTATTTTAAATTGGGCATTCCATGCTCTTTAGTGAACCTTTTTTGAAAATAGTGGTTGTAAATAACTACCTGCACCTTCTTATTTTGTATTAAGCACATTTATAACAGTGAGTAAAACTTCTAGAACATAAAGTAAGGGTATGGTATGCCAATAGCTAGCCGGAGCTGTGGTGCAGTGCACCATCTTTTTTCCATCTTGAAATCTAAAACTCTGACACATGAGAAAGAAAAGAAGCCGTCTTTGTATTGTGACAAGGATTGTGCCAAGCTGGAAGAAAGGACTTGAAGGGAAACTAGTCCTTTTTATAGATGAATGTATCAGTGAGTGGGGGTGTTTTAAAAACTGACATGGCAAGGCCAGTTTACTAAAGGAGTTAAGAATCTTCTCTCCAAAAATTCATTCATGTGAAAACAAGATTTCCAATCACTTTGAATACCCAAACGTGCAGATGATTTCAACATGATTGGATAACTGAAGTGAATATTTACACAGTTTCTTGTTAAATGAAGATTCTCAACAAATATTTTATATTATAAATATGTTGTATTTGCTGAGATCTGCCAAAAGTCCTGTTATGCAATTTTCCGCTTTCTCTAGCTATCCTGTCACTGGTGAGTTGTTAGCAGTAATATGATCATTAGTATGGCATAGGCTTTGGGGTCATGTAGACTACAAGAAAACAACTTTATTTCTGTAAAACTGCAGAAGGATTTTAATGCTCATCTCCGAGGAAAAAATGAAAAAGTACCCTTGCAGTGGGGTTACCCATGCACTGCAAGAACTAAGTGCTCCTTTTTGTGTAGGGGCTGTAGTGAAGCAGATTTATTTAGCTGATCCCTGCTCCCATTAGCTCCCTCAAGGCTGCTGTACCAGTCCCTACAACCTCTTCTCCTCTGAGCTTAGGTGGTCTAAGGACCTCTGATGTCATCACATTTAATGCAAGTTCCATAGGTGCTGACCAGCGCTCCCTAGACAAGATCGAGCACTAAACCATTGCGCTGTGGGTTCGTCCCACTGAAGTGTCTTTTTTTTTTTTTTAAATTTTTTTTATTTTTGTTTAGTTTGAGATAAACACTGCTTCCTGGAGTTCTTCCTTTTAAAATGCCGCTTTAGCTCGAGTTCTGGTTCAAAAGTACTAAAGGCTATTCATTTTTTTACCTTAATGCATTCTCTGCATTAATGTAAAAAAAAACGTCCTGCTACCTTTTTCATGCACCCCGAACACTTGCCTATACTCCATATTCACTGCCGCCAGCTCCCAGATGATTTGCAATGTTCCCCCAAAAGTTCCAGGTCGAGAGGAGGGATCCTGAGGTGAGAGGAGGGAGGAGGTGGTGTGTGGCTTGTCGAGTGCTGTGTGTGTGTCTGTCAATGGATCCACACAGCACGGCTCAATTTCTGTCCAGAAGCGTGTACACACGCTTGTCTCCTTTGCAACCTGCTAGGCAAAGGAGACGCCTGTAAACTGGAGAAGAGGGGGTTGTCGTACAGCCAGTGAAAAATGTAATGAAATGGACAATATAAAAAAAGAGCTACACAAGTACAAATGGATCTCCTCTTGAGAATAAAAAATAAAAATGAGGGTTTTAATATCACTTTGAAATGTACCTGTGACCTTTTGAAGGGCACTCTGAGTGTTTTAAAAATAAATAAATTGTGCTCGCTGTATATTCTTAACAAGCAGTAAATAAGCTTTAACACAAGCGGGCTGCAACTAATGATTATTCGGATAAGAAAAAAGTAAATACCATCCTTAATTTAAAATCAAATACACAAATGCAGTGTTACAAACATAAAGTTTACTTCAGAAAAAAACTGCATTGCGGTACAGTGCATTCCAGTGCGGGCGATCACACTGTGGGTGGGAGGCGCGTTCGGGGTGCCATTGAAATGAATGGCACTGAAACGTACCTCCGGCAGCAGAATTTGTGAGACCGAAAATTTCCTTTTTTTTTTTTTTTTTTTATAATTGTATTGTAAGCACATGGCGCTTGAATATCTACAGCCAGGAAATGTTGAAGTAACCTGTGCAAAATTTCTCAGCCAAACAGTGACTGTAAGTCTGCAAGTAAGTCTGCTCTTATCCAAACTGTTTAGTGTGGTTGGTGGAATCAAGCGTTTCTTCATATTCAGCCTACTGGGCTAAATGATAAACAAAATGTCAGTGTGCGGCCAGCCTTAGGCTTGAGCTCATTTCCGCAGTCCTTTAACAGGGTGGTGATGACATGAACTTGGTACAAAGATGCCCACTACAAGGGAGCAAGTACAAATCTGTATGAAATAGAATAGTGGAAATGTGGAACTGCATGCAAATAATAGTCTAAGTCATGCTGTGAATTCTATTTGGGTAAATGTTACAGTAATAACTGAAAATGTTTACACAATAAACTGATCCCCTGAACAGCATAGCTAATTAATGTAATTCATTTCAGTGAAGTGTCAACAAAGAACTGATAAAAAAAACCTGGCAGACGCCTTCCTATGATGCAGAAGTATGTTATTGCTAAACCTAATGCTGGGCACACACCTTACAACCATCGCAAGACTTTTGTCTTGCGATGGTTGTAAGGTACTTAAAAAAAAAAAGTACGATCTGCCTATCTTGGACAGGCAGATCGTACTTGCGATGATCACAAGCCGCGCCCCCTGAGGGGCGGGTTTCCGATGACCGCAATGCTGAATGGGCAGTGTGCGCTTGCGCTCACCGGCCCGTCCGGCTTTTATCGTACGAACATGCTACACACCCGCCGAACATCGTACGATGCTCGGCGGTTTTTCGAACATGTTCGTAAGTTTTTTAAGTCGTGCGACCTTACAGTAGTAGAGGTCACACGGCTTGCACACACCTTACGATAATCGTACGATCGCGGGATTTCCCACGATTATCGTAAGGTGTGTGGGCACCCTTAGAAAGTGAGTCACCTGCTGTGAAAGATGCAATGTTCTTTTTGTGTTAAGACCGATAACCGCTTTCAGCAAGTATTGAGAGCAGAAGTGCTGAGAGCTGTTATAGTCTAGAAAAAGTAGACCTAGAATCTGCCGAAGGCCTATTACTAGAGTAGTTCTAAATGTTGTTTTTTTTATTCACAGTAAAATAAAGTATATGTTCATTTTGAGCTTTGATTGCTTTTCACATATACATTGAACATGTGTGTTGAACTCAAAGCAGACCTGTGCCTAAACCTATCCTTGGCACTGATCCCTGCTGCCACCCAGTCACAATCACGCTACTTTCAGGTATGGAGGAACAGATTGCAGAATGTGATATAGCTGTCAATGCCTGAGCAGCCAATCATCGTGCCTTAGCTTTGCCACATTGGTTGGTTCCTTGTATCCACAGGTGTCAAGGGTGTGCTTGTGCATTCTAATACATTCGAAGTACCATCTTGATATTAAACTTTAAGGGCTTAATTTACTTATTTTACGCACTGCAGCACATCTACAGGATAGTTTTTTCCTTTTCTTTTTTTATTGTTTTTCTGCCAACTAAAGGGCAGAAACTGTTTAGTTATCTGTGGGCTACAGTTTACTTAAACATATACAATGAGCTTGGAAAATAATGTTCTCCTTTTCCTATTTCTTTCAGCTACTGAGTGATGACAGGAAGTGAAAGAAGAAGGTATGTATCTTGACAGACTGTGACGTTTCTATACTAGACTTTAGTGCATTAGTCATTAACCCATGCAGGCTAATTATGCTGACATACACTGCATTCACTGAACTGCAAAAATAATTGAAAAGATTTGTAACTAATGATTAGGAGTAAAACATCTGGGGACTCAAAGTAGAACTCTGGGAAAACAGTGGGGTTACCCCTGCACGGCAAGGGTCAAGTGCTCATTTTCATCTAGGTATGAAAATTAAAAAGTTACGCACCTGAACCTTGGAGCCAACTGGACTGCTCCTTCCAGCCTCTCTCTCCCTCCACTCCAACTGTCTAAGGTCCCATAAGTCATCTCATCCAATACAGTGTATTGGACGTGAGGCTGACGAGGGACATACCATTGCTGGAGCGGAGAAGAGTTCTCCCTCCAGCCTGTCTCCTTAACAGCCAGTCGGCTCTGAGGTGTGAGGGAGTATAACTAATTTTATTTTTTGCACCTAGGCAAAAACGGGCACTTAACCCTTGCAGCACAGTCCTGGGTTAAGGAAATGTTTTCCCAGAGTCATTCTTTAAAGGCATAGCCAGCCCTCATGGGCAGGGCCCTCCTTACCATCTCGTCTTGAATTGTATTGTGATTGTAATGTCTTCCTTATATTGTAAAGCGCTGCACAAATTGTTGCCGATATATAACTCCTGTTTAATAATAAGTCAGTTTTTCCAAAAAATGAAGAATAAATATACACATGTTTATAAAAGGAAAAATAAACACTTAATTGTTTGCATTTGACCCTGCAAGGCATTGCAACTGTGTTCAGTGGATCTCCGGTGCAATGTTCAGCTCTCCTGCAGATTGTTCTCCTAGCCCCAGGTCCGCACCAAGGGACAGACTTTCAGTTATGAGATGGAAGGACTGTATCGATCAATAGACAACAAGTGCAGTAACCTCACAGCACTTGTAGTCCTTTGAAAACTAGGAGTCGCTCTGCCGCAGTGGCGGACGCAAAGTGGTGCTTTCCTTTAAGATGAGACTTGTTCACCTCCTTAGTGCTCTGGCCTACCCACAGTTGGTAGTACACACCCATTGTAAATCTATATTGGTTGAGGTGAGAGTAATGATAACTCCTACATATGATCCCCGATCCAGCAGTGCCCACATACGGCTGTTCATCTTATTATTATTATTATTATTATTATTCAGGATTTATATAGCGCCAACAGTGTGCGCAGTACTTTACAATATAAGGATGTAGGCACTGCTTCCTGTAGTCTCCATTTAGAATGCACTGAACAATAGATTTACAATTATCCTCTGCTAATATGAATGGGTTAAATGATCCGTAGTACATGATATGTAGCCCTGTACCCCCTTTTCCACTTACAGAGCTAGGTTATTTTTCTTTTTAAATAAATATTAATGTAATTTTATTGGTATCTATCTACCATTAGCTGCCTCATTTCCCACCCTCGGCTTATATTTGGGTCAATACTTTTTCCCAGTTTTTTTTGGTCAAATTAGGTACCTCGGCTTATATTCGGGACGGCTTATACTCGAGTATATACGGTACCTGAAAAAGAACCTTCATAGCAGAACCACCAGGTATTTTAATGAAAGCTGTAAATTCAAAAAGATTAATTGATTGTATTAGAATACTAGAACATGTTAACACGTGAGATTGTATTGATTTGGGTTCACATCTGCTGTAAGTAAAACTTAATTAGTTGCTATGACTTACTGCAATCTGCTCTTGTCTGTAGGCGTTAATACATAAATGTCTTAACGTATGGAGAAAACAACATTTATTTATTTTCTAACTAATAAGATTTTGTCTATTCATTTTTCAGAATATAAGTTGGAAGACCTTTTTTTTTTTTTTTTTTATAACAATGGCAGGCAAGTCTTCTTTGCTAAAAGTGATCCTTCTGGGAGATGGAGGAGTCGGCAAGAGTTCTCTCATGAATCGATACGTTACCAACAAATTCGACACCCAGTTATTTCACACCATTGGAGTCGAGTTCTTGAACAAGGAGCTGGAGGTAGACAATCATTCGGTGACCATGCAGATCTGGGATACTGCAGGTCAAGAACGTTTCAGGAGCTTGAGGACCCCTTTCTATAGGGGATCCGACTGTTGCCTGCTGACATTCAGTGTTGATGACTCTCAGAGTTTTCAAAACCTGAACAACTGGAAGAAAGAATTTATCTACTATGCGGATGTCAAAGATCCAGAACATTTCCCATTTGTGGTATTGGGAAACAAAGTAGACATCAGTGAGCGACAAATCTCAGCAGAAGAGGCTGAGGCTTGGTGCAGAGACAATGGGAACCATCCCTATTTTGAGACCAGCGCTAAGGATGCCATTAATGTGTCGGCAGCATTTGAAGAAGCTGTCAGAAGAGTTTTGGCTATTGAAGATCGATCGGATCAGCTGATCCATAATGATACAGTTAATCTACATAGAAAGCCCAAGTCCAGTTCAACTTGCTGTTGATTTTTAGATCTATGGAAAATCTGCTTCTAACGCCTTCAATGTGAGCTGGACTTTTCCACTTTACAGGTCTGAGTACACAGCAGTAGGCCAGGTTGCTTCACTGGAAAAGAACACGAGTGAAAAAGGAGTTGTCTTCATGAATTTTTACTATGGAAAAGCCATAGACCTCACAAAGACTTTCCCCTTGTGGTTCCACTATATGTACCACACACAGTGCGTACGGTTTCCTTGATAAATGTGCATATTAATACAACTAACAGTAATTTACTATAATGAAACCCAGAGAGAGACTTTATAAATGAAAATGTCGTATGACTTGCATAGATGAAAAAGATGAGAAGAGAATATACATATATTATGTCTGTGACTATTTTCCTTTTGGACTACGCCCAGTTTTAACAGGATAAATACAGTCCAATAATTGATGACCTTTAAAGTTGGTATCTTTCACTGTCATTGCTTTCAGTTTTGATCTGTGATCATCAGTGTTTTGTTGTTTTTTTCCCTCCCTCACTTGTTTTCCTATTGCAGTATTGTCAGTACTGTTATTTTTACTTGAATTTTTTTTTTTTTTTTTTTAATCCCTGAAATCAAGTGTAGAAAATGCAGAAATAAGAAGCCTAGTCGGTACAGTGTAGCAGAATTTGTAGGGAGCCAATTTACATGTGCTTCTATAGGCTGTAAGAAGCTACTACCAGCTGTAGAATTTTATTGGCTACCAGACTTTTGGAAGTTATCTGCTATGAATGAATGATAAATCATGGATATGCATAACAATAGACCCTCAATGCAGGAACAGGGTCCATGATGTATTGTCAGTGTCTGTTAGCGTATCAAATATAATTTATGGACAAGCAAGCAATGAGTGATATTAAAAAAAATAATCTCATTCTTCCTTTTTTGGGGGTTAGTGACCTCGGGCGTCTGTATCTTTAACCTTTGTAGTTTATTGCAGATCTTCTGTTGACCACGAACAACACTGTTAGGAGATTAAAACCATTATATGGTGAAACAGTCAAATTTAGTGAACTAGCCCCTTTTCACACATGATTAATAGCCATATAATTGGATCTTCTAGCTTTCTTCAGATATAATACTGAACGATGGGCTTTCATAAAGTTAGTTTTTTTCCTGAAAATTTCCAGAAGATGGGGTTTAAGGCTTGGGTCCATTTATGCCCCAAAGTGTATGAAATTGCTTATGGTATGCTTTAATTAATATCATATGGTCCTTATAGACAAAACTCTATAGTACCAGGGTGGTTTTAGTTGTTTAGAGCTAAAAGTGGGTTTACAAAGTAAACCTTTGGCATTATGTCAATAAAAGGTTATGCTGTAATAATAAAATGAATCCAGTTAAAATGGCTCTAGAATAGAGAACAGGTCGCTTTCTCTGCACATGTTTCCCCTCAATTACTCTGTCATAGTGTAGTTCATTCTGTTTAATAGAGAGATGTCAGGTGCCTGCTGCTGTATTCTGTGCAGGAATAGATGCCAAATCCAACACCATATGCTATTGTTGATTAAATGGGAGCAAGCATCTCTGTAAGATTGTGGTAGGACTATATTCCTGGGGATCCATTTTAATAAACCACCAAGTAAGCTAACCTATGAGTTTCCACTTAAAAGTGATCAATCTGTATTGAATGGTGCTATCCTTTTAAGATTGTTGCCACAAGAATGAGGCATTTTTTCACATTCAAGCATAGCTTGAACCTGCACTTGCCCATGCAGGACAAAACAACAGGTTTACTTCAGTACCCTCACTCTTACACTTTGCCTCTCTTTTATTCTCTCACTGTTCCATTTGGTCACCCAGAGCAAAGAGAAATACCATTTTCGGGTATGGTGAGCATGTGACTTTACCCTTCGTTCCTTGAAGCATTGCTTGTTGACTGAGTGGCAAGTTGCTCAGCACTAATGATGTCACATAGGGTTGGGGGATAAAGTTCTATGTCCAGTGTAAACAATAACCAGAACTACTTGGAGGCTACTTAGGTCTTCTCCTTGTTCCTGTAGAGAAACAGGGGAGAGGTATGTGTTAGCAACTCAAAAGGCAGGGGTTTAAGCGAATATGTTGTTTTGCCATGCATAGGCAAATCACAGGCCCTCCCCGCTGAAGGGAGGACTTACAGATGATTGCAATGGAGTGTGTGCTTGCGCACCTCGGCCCCTACGGCTTTCGTCTTTCGATCGTGCTACCAACTTTCGGCGGGTTTTCTAGCGTGCTCGGAAGACGATTATCGTACGATAATCGTCAGGTGTATGGGCAGCTTAAGATGAGCAGACTTGGATTGTTGCCTGGTTTCTCCTTTGCTGTGCTGTGTGAGAGGCAAGATGGCAGCAGAGCCGAGTGGGGGAATAACTTGTTCTTTTAAGAGAGAAGATGAAGCTACAGCGAGTTTATAAGCTGACTAGTTTATTCTTGGCAGAAGCTTCTGCAAACATTTAGCAAAGGAAATGGTTGCTTCTAAAATTGGACCTCTACTAAGATATTCCTTCTCTCTCCTGTGTATTTCATGATGGTCCATGCTGCCTAAAATCTGGCTTTAAAGGGACACTGCTGTTTAATCAAAATCCTGAATTTGCATACTATAATTGCATTGCCATATGTCCATGTTCATTTTGATCAAACAGTTAACTTCATTAAAAGAAAAGTGATTTTATTTGATTATTTTTTTTCTGTACTCTGTGCACAGTTTAAATTGTCCAACGCCAGGAACGATGACATTAATACAGGCAATTGTAAGAGGTTGTTTGTCTTTAAATAACTTCTCCATAATATTTAGATGCAAAAATATGAAGGAAATGTGGCAGTGTTGCTTTAAATTCAGTTATTTCTGTTCTTTTCAGGAACACATTGGGACATGCGCAGTGATAGGAAGACTTGGACAATACAAGAAAAGGAGAAAGGGGTAGAAGTGTAGTCATGAGGTTTGCAGGCCAACAGTAGGGAAAAAGATCAGAGAAACCTTTTTTTTTTTTTTCTATAGAATGGGGAAGGATTTAGAACCTCTGTCGGGTTTTTGTCTTGTTTTCTCACTCCCTGTTCCAGTGATGCCTTCCATTAGCAGTAGGAAATGAGGAGAATCTGCCAATAGGGACCCAAATGACAAAGCCTCAGCCTTGCCCACTCCATCCAAAGTTTTGAGTCTCTACTTGCTATTAGTATTTTATAGGGTAGAAACTTGGCCTTGTTAATTAAATATATATAATTACATAAAGACTGCTCCACAGCAACCAATCTGCTTTCAGATCCACGCAGACAATTACTGTCGCAGAATGAAAGTTTGAATCTAATTACTGGGAGGCAAAATAATGCTGTGTAAAATACCTGGGATTTTTATGTCCCATTAGGCTTTGTTCACTAAGGTATAATGATTTTTTTCTATGACATCATGACCATTACTTTTGGCCCAGAAAGCCAATAAGCACTAAAAATAAACCCTAAGCCTGAAAATAATAGTTGTGGTAAACAGCACATGCATTATAGCTTAGTGAATTGAGTTTATTGCAGCCTGTTGTAGTTATGAAGAAAATTCAAGTAAAAATTAGCCAAACAAATGTAACATAAAATGTGATTTAAAAAAATAAATAACTTGAATGTGTATAAGCATTACTTGAGAAGGTGTTTAAGAAATGTGTGGATAGAATTATTTTTTTTTAATGAAAATCTGCATTCCATTGGTTTAAAAATTGACACTTTTATTCTAATATAAAGATATTTTACAGGTACTTTTGGTTGTAGGCTTTCCTTTCTAATGAATATAGACAATTGGCCTAGGGTCCTAATTCTATAAATGTTGAAGCTGCCGATTGGGAGATTATATGCTTGACAGTAATTTTGCCATTTTTGTTTTCTGTTTTTTAAGTTTGAGAATAACTTTTGCATTCTGGTTGTTTTGTAGATTTGTCATACCAATTTGTTCTGATTACCTTCACCACTGCTGATTATACAGTTCATGAGATGCTAACAATAAAGCACTAGATATTTAAAATTTGACCGTATATCTTAAATGTTTTCTTTTTTCTTTTTAATGGACTGGATAAAAGTGTATTTACCTTCAGCCAATTAACTTAAAGGTTGAATTATACAATTTGTACATCTGTCTCAAACACTGTTATATAATGTCAAACATGGACAAATTGTGTAACTCATCTGATAACGTGATTGGCTGAAGAATGTAAATACACTTGAATCCATGTAATAGACACTGTGTTATCATTTCTTCTGTATATGACAAACAGCAACAGCTTGAAATTATTAGGACTGCTATAGAGCTCATGGGATAGAACACCGATTAGGCACAGACGGAGTTACTGTGATTAAGATCTGCTGTACCAATTACAGAGGCACATAAGAACCCCTCCCTATAGCCGCCATCTCTACGATTAGGCCCAAATGGGTGAGGTGTGCAGCTGTATGACGGGGAGAATTGGTGACTAGGATGAGATGACACTAATAAATGCAGTATTTTGTGGATCCATGGAGTGCAGTACCTTTTTTTTTGCTTTAAATCTGAACTTCAGGCAAAAATGTTAACTCTTGCAGTAAAGCTACTCATGCACTGCAAGGGTTAAGTGCATGTTTTTGTCTAGGTGCTAAAAAAAAAAAAAAGTTTCAGTGCTCATTTTGTTTAGGGGTAACAAAAACAAATGATCTATACTTGCATTAGTCCTTCGTAGGGAAAGGGGACTCTTCTTTCCCTGATGCTCCAGGTTTTGGTCAGACTCCCTGTCCTCACTAAAGCTGGCCATACAGATTTTTTTTGCCGCTAAGAACCCTCTTTCGATTCGTGCTCAAATAGCCCATCATGCACAGACCAATGACGTTTTTGATAATTGTTTATCACTGAATTTCGTTAATCGTCAGAACAGATTTTCGTTTGCACATGTGCAGTGTTCTTGCTGCGATTTTTCTTTTGGTCGATTTAAAAAAAAAAACCATCCTAATGACTGAGGAAATTAGAGCGGGATTACAGTAAAAAAAAAAAAAAGTTGGTGTCCAATTGTTCGATTATCGTTTGAAAGACGATTCGTGGAAGATTTCCGAATTGTCGAATGAGCATCGAAGAGTGTATGGGCACCTTAACAATGCAGGACTTAAGCTGGCAACACACTGTGCAGTCTTGATGAACCAGCCGATATTTACACAGTGGATGCTGTTGTAGGTACCCTTCCAGCTGGCCAGGAGATCGATCGAGCTGGATGTAAAATGTAAACAAACAATGCTTGCAGCCAATCAGCTGAATACAAAGGCAACAAGGGGAATTCATACATCAACACTCTTTAGCCTTGATGGAGGAATCTGCACTGTGTTTTCCATTCAGCCTGTGGCTTGAACGGAACAAAAAACAGTGTATGGCCAGTTTACTTGTCCTGCATTGTATGTCTCTGGCTTCAGG